AGTAACTATAATAATAATAATAACAACAACAATAATAATAATAATAATAATAATAATAATAATAGTAAGAGAAAACATAAAAACGCAATCGAGAAAAAAGTAAAAGTTTAGCATCAAATTCTTCACATTTTAAACAACCTCCTTCACGATACACACACACATAAAATATACACACACGTGCGTGAATTTGCACTTGTTACAACTGTAGACTGAATAAGGAAACTTTAGGAGTGTTTTGGCTTTGGCTGAAAATAAACCCACCCTGTTCTGCCTCCTCTTCCTCTTAGACACGGGATGATGTTTTATAGCCTCACTGCTGCGGCTTCGCAGATTGTTCTTTTCCCACCCTCATTTTAGGAAGCACATTGTTCCTCCTCCTCATTTTCCTCCTCTGTCATTACCCTGCGCAGTTTCAGAGAGGAGAGGAAATTAAATCAGAATATGGAGCAGCAGCAGTGTTATAGGCTTGATTGTCCTACAGGATCAATGTAATCATTATTTTTTTGTAATCAATGCTTTTTGCTCTGTAAGAAATATACTCATCTCTAATGTCTCACTTTACTTTGTGATTGCATCGCTGTATGGGCTGTGATCCACCCAATCATCAAAGTGCTTGTGGGAGTCGGACACTGAGACCAGAACGACTCCAAACTAATCTAATTAACGTACAGGAATCTCATGAATGGCAAACGGTGGGCGAATAAAGACGTGTGGGCGCGGATAAGACATGACAGACAAATGCATTTTTATCACAGTTTATTATTCCTTTAGCTAACAATTCCACTTTACTTTTATTACCACAGACGTTTCAGCTTGATTATTTGGTCTAGAGGGAACTAAAGGGAGTGCAACAGGAGATAAACTTGAGTATACAACTTTTATTTTATTTATTAACGCAAGATATGTGATTAACATTAACACAGGACCTCAATGCAACCAGGGCGACAAGACCAGACATACAGATGTATGCAGATGATACAGTTATATAGGCCTATGGAAAAACAGCTATTACAGGTACAGACAATGTTTCAAAGCACCAGAAAGCTCGTGTTTGACTCTTAACATCCAAATAATACAATATATAATATATAATACTGGTCCATCCAGCTGAACTACATGTTAAAATCAACAGTCAGTAAATTAATTCTTACTTTAGGGGTTACTTTAGATTAATTCAGAGGTCAGAGATCCAGGTCTGCCCTCATTTGTATGTGTGGGTGTGTGTGCAGAGACTGTGAGCGTGCGGGCTTCAGGTAATTGGGGGAAGGAAAAGAAAAGAAAGGAGGAAGAAAGAAAAAATAAAATCAAAAACAGGTGAGGGGGAGAGAAGAGAAGAGGTGCCAGGTCAGGACAGCTGCATTCGGCCAGGATTTCTTCATCTTCATCATTTTTTTATTATTATTTTCATCCATTTGTTAATCTCTGAACTACCCTTTATTTGCCCCCTTGCTGTCCTTGCTTTCTCCTATTTGAGGCCGACCCCAGACTCGTGGGACTTCTCCGGACTGCCGCAGGTCAGTAAACACAACATTTTGAATTTCTGTTTGTTTGAATTGTTGGAACATCCAAACTTAATACTTTTACATCTAATTTAAATAAATAATAAACTGTTACGTATGCAATATATTGTATCTGACCCATTTAGAGTTGTGACTGGCTTATCTGACTACTTATCTAAGGCAGGGGTTCCCAACCTGGGGGTCGGGGCCCCCACTAGGGGTCGCCAAAGCTTCACAGGGGGTCGCAAGGCCTTCTTGATTCTTGCTATAAAACTGAAAAAATACACAGATTAGGCTGATATCTCAACATTTGGTGAGTCAAGTGTCTAATAAAACAATAGTCAAGTATCAGGGACAAAAAAAGTATGAATTTGTCATTAAAAGGATATTCAGTCTGTGTGATTGTTAAAAATAATTAAAGAAATTACATAATGCAGACAGATGGATGGATGGATGCAAAATTCCCGAAACAGGAAATAATCTGCTCAAAATTCATCTAAATCACTTGTTTTACACAAACTTCCTGTCGTTACTGAGTTCACTGTTTTAATATAATATTAGATATTAATAAAATATGTCACTGAGTCAGTTTATTAAATGATAGAAAACAGGTTCTTTAAAGGAACAACTGATCTAAGGTGCTTGCCAGGGCATTTCCCCATTAACACGTCTTATTCCTTCCTTGTTCCTCTTTCTCTCTCCTCCTTTAACCCACACACTAACTACCCAATAAAACTTCTTTTTCCAACTTGCATGGACACTGATTGAACATTCAGTCCATATTAATGTTATGTTACTAATAAAGACAGGAGTGTAATACATAAAGGCAGTCGGGAGGACAGACACAGGAGGAGGGAGCTGGCCTCTGTATTAACAAACTGCAAGTGTGAAGGTTGTTCTGTTCTTTTCCATAATTTAATTCTTTATTTTAAAGTTTTTGTTGCTGATTTTATTCACTTCCCAGAGAAATGACACTGCGAGCAGCTTCAACGCTGAATTCCTGAGTGATTTTAAAAATAGATTTCATTCCTCTGATTGTTTTTCTGCACTTGTTTTTGAGCCGTAACACAATTAAAATAGTTATTAAATTTCCTTTATGCTGAGCTGGGTTTCTCCTCAGTAAACAACAACAGAACAATAATGATATAATTACAGTACATAATAATACCTGTCCCTCTTTTCCTCATAATATAATTAACTGTCTGTATAGATTTGTACTCCACATCATCTGTAATACACACTCCCATGACATCTAGTGGAGGAATGCCGTCTGTGCAAGCAGCAAAGCACCTTAAATCTGTTCCAAATTCATTTATTTAATGGCCTCTTTGGATTTTACAGACTAAATTATCTTCTTTAAAACATTCGACTGGCCTCTTTACAATGAGGTCAGCTGTAGATGAAGCTTTGACCTTACAGGCAACAAATAGGATGAAATGGTCAAAGGTCAAAGGATAAGGGGTTGGCTGAGTGGTAGAATAACACCTGGAGTCGATCGATCACCTGCATAATATGTACATTATATGTATATATATTTATGTAGGCTATATATGAAGGGAAAATTAGAATTGAAACAAACATAAAGCAATAAAAATAGTCTATTTCCCAGTTTAATATGAGTGTTTTGGAGGTTTTTAGACCAGTATATATATAAATATATATAGTAAATACCTATAGTTAAACAATTAACTGGAAAGTTAATTTCACTTTTATTTTCTCCATAGACCGTACTGGACCAGGTCTAGGTGAAAAAACTACTACTACTGTAGCCTACTTGTCAAACTTTATTAATTGATTGAGACTAAATACTTGATACTATTAATTATTATTAATTATAACTGGAAGTAGCAGATTGTCACTGCTTTTTCTACATCGACCACATTGGACCAGAGGTCTAGATAAGATAAAACTGATCCTTTATTGATCCCTGCAGGGGAAATTTAAACAGCACTGCACTGCAGTACAGGGGAATGTACAAAGAGTAACGCCCCTGTATTATATACAGTAAAGTAGAATATGGTAAGCCTATATATATATATGGTATCTGCACATGTTTAATGTTTCTGAAGTATTGTGCAAAAAAGAATTGCTATCTGAGATCGTAAGCATAAATTTAAATAGGACATATTAAATGTATAATCGTCAACCCTGGACTAGATTACCATTATGGAATTATTATTGTATGGAAGCCCATTTCTGCCAATGTAGTAGTATCTCAAAATAATGACTTACATTTCAAAATAATGACAAAGTATCTTAAAATAATGACATAGTATCTTAAAATAATGACATAGCATTTCACAATAATAACATTGTATCTCAAGAAAAATGACTGACATTTAAAAATAATGACTTATTTTTAAAGAAAAAACACTAATACCTCAAAATAAATTTCAAAATAATGAATAATATCTCAAAATAATAACTTACATTTCAAAATAATGACTTAGCTTTTCGAAATAATGACTTATATTTCAAAATAACGACTTAAATAACAGAAACGTTCTCATTACGTTGAGAAACCTTCTCATTATAATACTTTTTAGTCACATTGGCAGTATAATAACCATCCATAAAACACTAATGTAACGTTATAATATGACACACTGACAGCGGATTCACACTAAACTCGGTAGCCGTTATTTCCGCCGCAAGATGGCGCCGGGAACCGCCGCCGAGCTGCTGCATTCGAAGCTCCCTCCCCGTCGGAGGCTGACCTCTTTCCCGCTATGACAGTTTCCTGCGGGCTGGTCGACACCGACGGACTGGCCGCCCTCACACCGAGATGTGCTGAAGGGGAGACGGGCTTATCAGAGTTTAGCTGGCCGCCATGCAGAGCACCGGGCTGCCACAGTGAAACCTCGGTTTATTTATTTTCTACGGGTTAAAGCGAATGTCGCAGGCCGGATAACGGTGAGTGTGTTTCTTTAACGTGGAGCAATAAGTTGTGTTTGGTGTTTGGTGTACGCAGTGCTGGTGGTTAAGCCCCGCCGATACGTGTCACTTTGTGGAGAGAACGTCACGACGGACTCCGTTCAAAAAACGTGGCAGTTAAGAGTTGCCGTGTTTAACGGTTACGTTTTACACACCGTAACCAGTAACCGAGGTGAATTTTGGATTTAGTAGTGGGTGCTCTTTAATTCGGCATACATACAACCAAACCAAACAACACGTATTTTAGTACAACCTGTGAGTTATTACGTTTCATTACGCTAATCGTTGCCAGCCACGGCGGTTTGTTTTCGCTGACAACGGCTGAGGCACTTTTCAAAGTTAAAATACTCCCTAAATTATAGTGTTTAGGTGAATTGGATGTATGCCGAATTGGAGACCGCCTCTAAATGCTTCGTAGTATGTAGTAACTTCCACTGTTATAGGCGCGTACTGTTGCCAGTTGTCTCAGGAATAAAGGTTAAAAAGAAATGGAGATTTTTGTAAAGGAGTTTCGTTATGACGTCCTCTCCATACAGGAAGGCACTGGAATGACAGTTGCACCAGCAGCCTGTATGGATATGCAGTAAAGACTGGAAATATAGACTAAAAGAACAATATTTTAATGTAGTTTACAGATAACATAATAAGATAATATTTGGTCTAATGTGGAGCCATTTGAGGGTTTGTTGTATTTCCTTTGCAACTTTTAAATCCCAACTTGTTGAAGAAATATAGTGTGGGTCTATTACTGAATAATTATGTGTGATATCCTCGTTTTATAAATGAATATATAACGAATTACATTCTCAAATGTTAAGACTTTCAGTGGTACTCCACAGTAGATAGTACAGTGTAATTACACCTGAAATACAGCAGTTTTATTTTGGCATCTTTTGGTTAACAGGAAGTGAATATTATGTCTATATTCTTCATGCATTTCTCCACCCACTGTGCTGCTGTTACACTTATATTAAGTACATTAGTACATTTACGAGGCTCAATAGTCAGCTTGTTGTTTCTTTGTCATGCTTAATGCTGTTTTCTCCCCCGGGGTCTGTGATAGGGCTGTTTGAACTTTGACCGCTGGAGATAATCTTGCATCATGAGGCCTCTGCTGTGTGACCAGACTCTAATGTTTGCTGTAAATATCTCTCTCTCTCTCTCTCTTTCTGCAGCAGGGAAATGAGTAACAGGATGGAGGGTTCGGCGGCACCGGGCGCCAGGGCGAACGGACCCATCGCGGCGCCCAGCCCCCCGGTGGGCTCCGGCATCGGCCCGCCTCCGTCCCCGGAGGAGCTGGAGGAAGAGCCCCAGTCGTCCCTGACAGACGTCACCCAAATGTGGATTAAATTCGGCAAGACTTTCGCCATCATCTTCCCGATCTACATCCTGGGATACTTCGAGTTCAGCTTCAGCTGGGTTCTGATCGGACTCGCCATGTTGTTCTACTGGAGGAAGAACCACGGCAGCAAGGACTACAGGATAAACCGGGCCTTGGCGTTCCTGGAGCACGAGGAGAAAGTGGTGAAGCAGAGTGTGCCCACTGCTGAGCTGCCACCATGGGTAGGTCCTGCGTTATTACCCCGCGTTATCGCTGTCTCTCCTCCAAGTGTCCCCCTTCCCTCGGGCGTCCTTCCAGCCGACTATAGGACTAACATCGACTGTTTTCCTGCCAAACTGGCTGATAGAGGTTCCTAAAGTGGAGCTGTAGTTGTTCTTCCCACTGGGGGAATAACACTATCCTACTTACTAACCAGAGAACCATTTCGTTCCCACATCCGATCAGATCCAACAATCAGACCAGCGCCTGTCGTTTCCTTGTTTGGGTCAGCGGTTAACCTTTCCAAACTCTTGTGTGTGAGGTGTTGAAACTGCATCGGAAATGAGACGCACAGCGTTTGAAAACTACGAGTAACACTCTGAGTCCCCTGAGAAATTCTCCTGCGGTCGTTTTATTGGTGGAAAAATCAGTTTCTGGGCAACAAAAGCAGAGAATGAATAGCTTCTGGCAGGTTAGATATTCCGAAATGCCCAACAGTGTGAGCCCATAAGTGGCTCCAGAACTGTATTTCACTACATGTCCTGTGATATCAGACCATATTTCTCAGACGGTGCAGTGGTGTTTGACCTTGGAATAAAGGCACACATCATCTCTTTCATTTCAACCCACAGCACAGAAACAATCTGTGTGTGACGTCTGAAAGGTCACACAGGCTCGCCGTCCACTTCCACGGCTCTTTTTGATCATTCAGTCCCGTTGACCACCGCTTGAAGTCCTCTATGAATAATTTACACGTGGCCTTTGAGCCTGCCGAGCTCCCCGGCTGCTGCTAATAAAGCTTATGTCCTGATTTTCACTTTCTGTTGGTGCGGTTGCCCGTCAGAGCACGCAGGGCGGTTTCCCTGCGCCACAATAAGGAACCGGTATGAAGAAGGCCGACCGGCAATACGCCTTCCACATAGCTGCCATTCTCTCTCTCTCTCTATTACATTCTTTGGTCTTTACATGTGGCGAGTTCACCCAGCCCAAATGACTAGTTCCTAGAAGCAGGGTGTGTACTCTGAGGATGTATGTGAGAAAAACAGCCATTGGCTCGTCGGCTGGTAGTGTTGACAGAGATTCATTAGAGCACAGTGTTTTCCCAAAAGCTGTTTTTCTTGCAGCAGGGAAATGGACGGGAAGCTTTGCTCCAGCAGTGCGCGGCTCCATTTGTAATTTCCAAGCTTTGTTAAATCCACAGAGACTGGAGACCTCGCACACTCAAACTCTTACTGCCTACGTTGAGTTAAGGTACGAGAGAGGAGACCCCGCTGAACAGGCTGTGTGTTGTTTGTGTTGTGTCAAGTTAAATTAAAGCAGAGACGTCAGAAGAGACGTGTTGGGTTGCATTGGATCATACAGGCGTCCCCGATGAAGTTATTACCACGCTGTGTTACTTCAAAAACAGGTTTTACTTCACAAGGAATGAGTTGACCTCAGTACTATAACTTAACAACAACTCCTGCTGAATAAAAGGAGCATTTCAGATGTTTTTATTATCTTGTAGTTACTGACTTTGGGATCGAGTTCAGGCCATATTCTTTATTTCAACATTATTCTAGAGATGAATAGTTTAACGGCCGACACTTGATCTGTATCATCGCGTGCAGTCGGGTCTTTCACAATGTGATTCTGAACTTTAAAGGTCTTTTATGTATTCGTGATGCGTTTGATGGCCCTTCCCCAGACTGCACAGACTCTGCCGCTGCAATAAAAAGGCCTTCTGCAGTAATATCCTCTGTGATGGACGACGGTGACGATGGTGATGAAGAACGCTGAGAGGCTGAGTGGATGGCAGTCAGACACCGCGGGCCCGATGCCGCACGCCGTACGCAGCCACACGGTAGAGCAGCTGTCGGTGTTGTTTAGTGAGTCAGCAGGCTTATCTTTTGTCTTTATGTCCCCTGTTGTGATGTTTTAACCCCCAGCGACACACACACACACGTGCTGATTGACAGCCTGATTAAAGGGAAACTGAGGGAACCAGTGAAAGGATGTCAGAGGGTTAATGTGTGCTTCTGATAATGAGCAGTGAACTGTGACCCCTGCAGACACTCAGACGGTGTCAGTCTGTCCCTCAGTCATTCTGACACACTAACCTCAAACCTCAATGATTAGAAGCTCAGAGAGACAAAGAGGGAACTCTACAGCCAAATAACCCCCATTAGGAGCCCTATTGTATTTAATCTGACGTCATTAGTGAAATTAATATAGTCTGTAAAACTTCCAAAGAGTAATTAAAGTCCACCGCAGCTTCCCGAGCACAAGTTACAGTCTTCAGTCACTTCAGTTCACATGAATTCAAACTCAGAAATGAAATGTTGAACCAAGATTAACTACATTTACAGAAAATAATCTAATCTCTAACTCAAGTTTAATTACCTGCCATTGCACTTTGGTAGTCCGCCCAAACAAAAGGCCGGTTAATTGTGATTTTTAGAGATTATTTAAACATTAGCCGTCAGTCCGAGCGGTACGTTCAATAAATTCATCGTAGAAACCTTGCGACTGGTGTGTCATTGGGTCGTAACATGACAAACGTGCTCAAGACATATAAGTATAAGTAAATCAGGGATTTCAGAATCAAAAATACAACCAATTGATTCATTATAAACTTTAGAAAGTCCCGGAAAATGTTCAAAAATATCATAATGTGACTTTTTTTCGCACAATCAACACTCAAAAACCACAAAAGTTTCCGGTTTATAACGATATAAAAACAAGAGAAAAACCAGCGACGTCTATTCAGTCGTAATGTTCTCTCAGTTATTTAATGAATCGACTATTTCAGCACAAAATGACTTCACTTTTGTTTATTGCATTTATTTTTCTAAAGGATGCTTCACTCCTGTTAGATGTAGACTGAACACAAGAAGCGACAGGAGGGTTTTTATCAGTTTTCCCTTCAGACACAATGGATCAACTGTCATACTCTGTATAAAACCAACACAATGAGCCACACCTGCAGTGTATTGGCACGCAGTAAAAGCAGCTGTTCTCACCACCGAAATATGGATTTTGGTGGCGAGCCCGTCGCCTTGGCTCGTAGTTAACAAACGCCTGAGGTAATGCTACACGTCTGTGCTGGTGAAGACACACTGAGTCACTCGCTGCTCTCAGACGCACACTGATGCATCTGGACGGGCTCAGTTTCAGGAAAATGTACAGTTTGATAGGTTTCACCACCAGCTGGCTCATAGAAATCAACGTGCACACAGAAATAATGCGTGTTTGCCACCGAAGAGGCATCTCTCTGGAGTGGAGGCTTTCATAAGCAACAAGTAAACAAACATTTGTGGCCTGTAAATGATTCATGTGGATGTTTTATAGACACCACGACAGATATTCTGAGGGTAAAACTGTTTCATTTACAGTCTGACTAACAGATAATGTCCACATAATGTCTTCATGAGCTAAAGTACAAGTAACAACTCAGTTATTTTCATTATTGTGTACAAAATAAACTCACAGTCCACTTAGAGCTGCAAAAAATAGTCCACTCATCGATTATTTGATAAACTGATGAATCGTTTCAGTTATTTTTCGAAGCAAAAATGAAATAAAATAGATGTTTTTAGCTTTTTAAATGTAAGAATTTGCTGCTTTTCTTCCTCGTACATTAATAAACTGAATATCTTTGGGTTTTTAACGGTAGCAGTCAGTTCTTACACGTTAATATCAAAGTGCTTTTTAAAGGAGGGGTTGTCGTTTGAGTCTCAGTTTTCCGTTAACTCGATTGCTCCGTAATCCTTTGATCCATACAAGCTGGAAAATCCTAAAGTTAGTGAGGAACGGAGATAAGAATCCAGCGTGCAACCTTTTAAAGCTCTTAATGTGATTAACAATGCATGACAGGAAATATAATTTTTTTTTGTCCTGAACAAATTAGCAGCAAATTCTCTTTGGCTGAAAATGAATTTTATTTGTCAAATTGTCCCGTTTTCATGCTCAAACACAAGTAATGTCAGTGTGTTCGATCACTTCTGTGTATTTAGAATTGACTGAACTTTACACTCGTTATGTTAAATTGCTTTAAAACTGCAGGAATATGTAAAAAGTGTAGAAGCAGAGGTAACCCCAGGTGACTGGCTGTCAGGGAGTGATGGATGGTGATGAAAGGCTGCAACAGAAGGCTCACTGAGGAGGAATGAGGTCAGTAAACGGTTGGTCTGGACGCTTTACGGCTGCCTCATAATGTTTATATAGTGCACCTGAACACAACACTACAGCTGATAAATGACAGATATATGTTCATACCAGAGTCAGACATTCGTATATTACGCTGATACTTCATACCTCCGTCACAGCAGCACAGAGGATTGTTCCCGGCTTAGGACGGGCGTCTGTGTCTTTAGAGAGAGGTGTTGTGGTTATATGCCGTCCTGGAATATCTGGAAAACCCAAAGACATTCAGAGACTAGTTTTCCAGTCGTGGAAACATCGGAAATGGATTAAAATGACCAAATATCCTGTAATTAGCCCCTCACTCAGATTACATCTGTTGTTGTGGATGATAATTGTTGAGTTTATGTGCAACAAACTACTTTGTAAACTTCTTTTAACACGTAAGCAGATGGATTTTGGTTTGGTATTTCCACGTGGAGTGTCCCATTGTGAGCGAGCGCTGTCCTGTATTATCAGAGGAAGGTGATAAACTCCTGGAAAACGATTTCTTAGAAAGAGCGGGAACCTTAGAGGTGTTGACTTGAGAGCATTAGCCAGCTGAATTGGCTTTGGATTGATTGCTTTGTCACATTTAACCTCATCAGAAGAAGTGTCGGGGGAGCGAAGGTCAACCGGGGAAACGACAGTAACTGTGATGCAAATCCATGGCAGGTACGCCCAGGTAGTAACGGCTGCAGCATTTCTACCATTATTTACATAATTCAATCAATATATAAAGTGTATAAAGCAGCGCAGGAACTCCAGACTCACATCCAAACTGCATTTCCATATTTCACCCACAAAAAGCCCGTGCTCTTTAATGTTTATACCGCGGTAGAAACGCAGACAGCGGGCTCAA